ACTACTACTACTACTACTACCTACTACTACCTACTACTTACTACTACTACTACTACTACTACTACTACTACTACTACGGACTACTAATACTACTCACTACTAATAGACTACTACTACTACTACTACTAGCTACTACTACTACTACTACTACTATACTACTACTACTACTACTACTACTACTACTACTACTACTTACTACTACTAATACTACTACTACTACTACTACTATACTACTACTACTACTACTACTACTACTACTACTACTACTACTACTACTACTACTACTACTACTACTACTACTACTACTACTACTACTACTACTACTACTACTACTACTACTACTACTACTACTACTACTACTACTACTACTACTACTACTACTACTACTACTACTACTACTACTACTACTACTACTACTACTACTACTACTACTACTACTACTACTACTACTACTACTACTACTACTACTACTTACTACTACTTTAAGACTGTTCGCTCTCTTCTGCTCGCGTGTCATCCAACACGCGAAACCAAACTCTCGACACTCACCGTCTTCGTCTTCGATCGGGCCCCCTTGGGGGCAGTATTTTTCCAACCTGCCACGTTTAATTGGTGCTGCCCCTAAAGAAAAAAGAAGAACGGATGGAAGTGGGAGGGAGAAGGATGGAGCACGGGAGAAAGTAGCAGTAGGGGGGCCAGGAGCAGAAAACACGTGGCAGAATCAGACAGGCTGATCAGGCGGGTCGGGAAGGCGGGCCCAGGCGGTGAGGTCGAGCAGGTGGGTTGCTGAAGCGTGCGCCCTGCATGAACCGCGAGGAAATCTCGAGCGATAGCGCGATTCCCAAATAAAGCCTGAAAAATCCACAGCGAGAGCATGATACCTGAGTGTCGAGGGCACGGCGTTTGTATCAGTTGCGAGGCCATCCCCTCGCGAGAGCGCGATGCCTACATCAATTGTGAGGAAGCCCCGCGCGAGAGCGCGATTTTCCGCCGCCGGCGCCGGCGCTGGTCCAGGGGGGGGTCGAACCGCATATCGGAGCAATCCCAACCGACTGGTTACAATTACAAGCGACCTGGCCACTTCTCAACCAGCCCAAAAACAAACTGGTAACAACTACAACCGGCCATCTTGTCCAACAGGACTCCTTTTGCCCAACATTTCAAGACGATCCGAACATCAAATGAAGGTCTTGAGGGTGCACATTTATTCGGGGGAGCAACATGAGTGCCCCGGTTGGAATTGATACCATTTTACTTTCTGGGAACTGTGCCGTTTTGCAACAACACTTCGCAACAACACAGATCACCTCAAAACAACAACACATACGCACATATACAACACAACAGCATATATTCACAACACATATCTGCACACCTGACACAATGACACATGTCGAAAGCCCGATGCATCATCCTCGCTGCCCTCGGCCGTTCCTCCCTTCCTTCTTTACTGCCGCTCCCCTCCTCCTCCTCCTCCTCCTCCAGAAGTCCCCATGCTTGCTTGAAATCCTTCGGACATCCTTCAGAAATCCAACAGCCATCTTCAAGAAATCATTCAGAAATCCTCCAGCAATCCTTCAGACATCCTTTACAAATCCTCCAGAAATCCTTGAAGCTCCTATCGGCAGCCCCTTAGGAGCCTTCGAACGAGCTTCTAAGGCGCCTCTAAGGAGCTTCCAAGGAGCCTTCGAACGAGCCTCTAGGGAGCTTCTAGGGAGCCTTCTAAAGAAGCTTCTGAGGAACTACACCCCTGCGGGTCCTTCACTGCCGTAGGGCTCCTCATGGGGCCGCCGAGGAACTACCATGGGACCGTCCAGAGGCCCTAAGTGTGCCCAGCATCGGCTTCGCATAGAAGTAAGAAGAAATACTTGCACAGAACATCTTGCACAATGTCTATCCAGCAGCCGCGTCCCCCAACGCGGGTTTCAATCGACAGCGGGAGGAAATCTTGATATTGCCATATCACTTGCTAATTGTTCGGGGGCTGTCACACCTGAGCGTCTGGTGCCCACGCTGTTCTCGCGTTATTCCTGCGGGCATCGCGAACTTGTTCAGGTGCTTTTTCGTGATGATTGCAACAGCCTTGCTCGAAAACCCGACCTACTTCACGTCTTGCACAGGCGCCCAGCTAGAAACAACAGAAACCCCGCCCTCTCTGCACAGAACCCGATGGATTTCGCGCAAAGCCGGTATACAGGGCCAGAGAAAAGCAGGACAGAGAGCATCGCTGTGACACCGCTGTATGAGCCGCCCAGGCAGCGCAAATTCATCCCATCCATCTGACGAAACGCCAATTGCATCGCACGATGGGACACAGGCGTCGGTTCTCCCCGCAGCAGTTCGCCGAAACTCTGTTCAGCATCCTGTACAATCTCTGAGGAGAAATCTGTTGACGTGGGGTGAGCTCCTGGAAGAAGCCAGACCCAAGGACATGCGTACCGCCTGTACTACCCAGACGCTTCAGCGCTACCTCCGAAACTACGCCCGCACCACAGCCGAC